CCACTGTTGCCACTGCTGCCAATGCTGTTGCTGGACTATAGTCCACTCCTGCTGAGTGCAACCAGACATGTCCTGGCAAAAGATAATACTCATTCCTTTACTTGCTAAAATAATTTAAAACTGAATTATTCCCAACCAGCAACACACTAATACATGTAATTTAAGCATACGCATTTTAGTACGACATGCTTTCGTCAGTGTTCTAGTTATCTGTGTATTATTACACAGCTTTCATTGCCAATACGTTCAGCTTCTCACTACAGCTTACATAAATCAAACAAATTTAAAATGAACATTAAAATAATTAAATTGGATAAATTACAAAGTACTGGTCCGTACCAACATGTGAAAAGTTCCTTACTTTTATAACAAAATTACACATGATGATACAAACAAGTTCTCTTAAGATTTACTGATTTTTATAATTTTAATGTTCATTTTAAATATATTTGATATACATGAGATTTAATAAGAATGTTGGTACACACCTCACTTTCACACAAAAGCAGGATCAATGTACCAGGTGTTATATATGAGTGATTAAAAAGTATACCAATACTGTATTGTCTTACTTCTTTCTAACAATATCGGTCTTTCAGTCACAGATATCACCTCTGATTCCTATATAATTCTCTCAAAATGTACAGAAGGAAACTTACTGGAGTGACAGATGACAATCCTGGTCCAGTTCCATAATACTGATAGCCTACTGGATACGCCGTTTGTGGCGCAGCAGCTGCTGTTGGAGGGGGTACAGTTGCAGTGGATGGATACCCTGCCATAGCAAAGCCTGATGCTGCAGCCTGACTATTCCACTGATTCCAAGCCTGCATTCTGTCCAGTTAGGGTCTGTTAAATGACAACATTTATTCCTACAAAACTCTACCAAAAAATTACTATTCAAACGAACTGCTCCAAAATAAAATATCACTATAAATTAAAGATGCAAATGGCTAAATGTGAAAATATATTTCAAAATCACCTATTCATAAAATTCTCTTATGAAAGTTACTATTATGCATTAATCATGAAAATTATATCTGTTTCAAAATAATCTACTCTTTCTTAACGAAAAGACATAGACAGCTCCTGATATATATATATACACACACACACACACACATACATTTTCTGGTTAATCACTAAAATTAATATAATGGTAACACTTTGAATGAAAAAGGAGATTTTTAATAGTAAAGGATATTACAGTTTTAAGAACATTCTTTCACCACTATCTGTACCACTGGAAATGGACAGCAAAAGAATCTGCACGGAGACTGGATAACGCAGACTATGTTTTCTCTGACATTAAACATATAACAATTTGATCATAAACTAGTGTTACACTCGAGAATAAAATACACAAACCACAAAAGATAAAAACACCAAGTTTCACATGTGAATCCTTATGATTAAAACAATGCATGTAGCTGAATTATACAACAAAACAATTACCTCTACTATACAGAAGTATAACGCTCAGTACAGTACAGTATATCTTCAAAATGACTCCACAATCTTCAATTCAGAATGAGAAGTACTATCACTCCTCCCTCCCTCAGTTAATACTTCCGAACCTTGAAGGCTGAGACTGCTGTCATATCAATATTTCCAAATAGCTCAAATCACTGAGCACACCTAATATGAGAAGGATTGGCACACAAATATAGTCACATAAAAACAACTTCAAAATAAGTGCACAAAATCAAATTTCTAGCACAAGAAATGCAACTGCTATTTCACCGCACTAGTTTCTTCTGAAAAAAAATTTAATTACTTTGCCGGCAAGGACAAATATTTCCAGAACATCATAATGGAGCAATAACAAACTCCCTGGTAGCAGAACCTGCAGATTCAACACCGACAACACCAAGGCCTACCACCAAACATGACTCAACTCCATCCATTTGCCATCCTCACAGCCCACCTTCCTACGATCCATCTTGATGTTATCCTCCAATCTCCTTCTCGGTCTGACCGGTGGTCATTTCCCAGAAGCAATTCCCACAAAAATTCTGCACGTAACCATTGCCTGCCCTCCCTCCCCCTCATGCGTGCAACATGTCCAGCCCAACAGAGTTGCCTAGATTTCATTATACTCACTATGCTAGGTGACCTGTACAATTTACGCAGCTCCTTGTTACACAATATTCTAAATTCCCCACTTATTTATCACCACCTCACACCCTATTATCTTAAGTAATTTCAATATTATTCCCTTTCAAATGGGATATTAACTTTCCACTCAACAAAGTTATAAATTTTCCATAACAAAACTAAATTGGGGGGGGGGGGGGCAAAAGTGGCTCATGTTTCAGTATTTGCTAGACTGTTCAAGTTTCAGCACGACTTCCCAGATTGGACAGTTTCATCCATCACACGAAATGAGGGTATCAATATGAAATTTGCTGATACCTTATAATTTATATCTAACAATATACATTATTAAAAAAATACTGCCTCTTAACAATGTAAAGAAATAAATAGTACAGATGTCAATGCTGGTTGAGTGTATCCATGTGTTTGTAAACTTTCAGCATATGCTTTGCTGCATATTCCCAAAAGGTGCATACACCAAGCATTCCTTGTTCACACTCAAAAAATGCATGCTCTATTTATTTTGTCAGCAATTAAAGTAATAAACTGAAAATTATAATAAATGCTTCAAGCATGTCAAACACTGGCTGCTCTCCTGAGCCTTAACTGGTCCATTCCTAAAGCCATACTCCATACCTGCAAAGGTTCAATACATCCATATGACTGTCAAGGTGAAATAAATGTATATCCAACCATCTTCTGTAAAAGCAGAAAGAAAAACAAAAAGCGAAACTGCAACACCTAAAACCTATGAAGCATAATTAATATGAGGGCCCACGAAACATTCTAAAAATGTAGTCACAAATTCGACTACTGTTCTGAGAAACATTACTTTTAACAGAAGTTTGACAGCAAATACTCACCAATCAATTTTTTAAACATGCAGACAGAATCTTTGCATTTATTGAGCATACAAATCTTTTGTTCACAAGAGTGGGATGCTTCTTCTTTTTTAATTTTGCTATCCCCTTAAGGCTCAAGTAATCATAAATATGCAATTTGAAAAAACGGTTTCATTATTCTTAAAAAAACACAACTTCCTTATTTGTCTTTCATATTCTCTAATGTGTGTTATACTCTTACAGCAGAAATGAGATGTAATAATTGCTAACAAACAACAAAATATAAGTATATTACTGACACACCCGATCAAGATTATTAGATACATTGGTCCAATGTTTAGTGGTGTGGATTGACAGGCAAATTATGCATTCACTGTATCAGTTCCTTTTGTGTTCTCTTTATATGCAGTGCAACTTCAAAGTGTGTAGTACAAGTTTACTTCATCAAATATGTTACACAATAGTATTGTGTACTAAAACATAGTGTACAACAATTTTATAGCGATTAAGAAATGAAAGAAAATTATGAATCTTCATTATGTTGAGAGTACAGACAAAACAGGATAAAATCCTAACTAAAAGAACTATATTGGCTAAAAAACTGAAGGTAAAACGTTGCAAAAGGCAAAATCACAGAACTATGACAAACAGCATTCTCTCAGAACCAACAAAACACGTGTAGCCATATATCTCTGTGGTGTTTCCAAATCATTGCTGGGAATACTTGCCACCTCTAAACCATGAAATAATTCAAATACCTAGAAACCAATTAAAACAATACAATACATAAGTCACACAATAATTTAATTAACTAATTTGGGTACGTGCAAATATTTCTTGTATCAGATGCATACAGACCATATGTTCCTTTCATAAAATAAATGCATAATTACTGTAAGCAGACATAAGGTCGACAGTAATTATAAACAGAAGTACGCAGTGTGCTCCAACCTAAGTAGTCAGAAAATCAAATTCAGAAAGTATGTATGTAATGTAATGAAATTAAGTTCAAGATAGAATTTGTAAGAAATAAGGAACTGTACATACAGCATAATAATTCTAATGTACTCACCAGAATCTGACCCTTTAAATGGCCAGGAATTCCTAACACACAAATTCCCACCCGATCAACTATACGCACAAAAACACATGTAGGTTAAACAAAGTGTCGATTACTGTCATCCAATCTCAATTAAAACTGGAATGTCAACAAACATTATGAAAACACCAGCAAAACAGAACTGTAAAAATCAGTACAGGGATTCTTGGACTGTTACACATGAACAATCATGGCAAAACTAAAAAGTGTATTTTTGAGAATTTTAGTTGTGGACATGTCTAAAACATAAACCAACTACTCAAAAATTACGCTATTTTAGAAACACATTAACATTTGAGGCCTTGTGATAACTACATGTATCAGCTACTTCAACAATAAAGAACTACGCATTTTCTATTTATGGGTTTTGAATGTTTTTTAGTGTAAAAAGGAATTATTTCCTTGATCATTCACCACTGTAATGGACACATGATGTGTATTATTTGTAATAGGTACTGACAAAGCAAATGAATGCAGCCAGTATAGTATATATAGTTAATATGTAAGTACTTGCAACATTTTTTTTGTTTTTGCCTTCTAGACATAGCAACCAGTTCTGGCACACTGTAATAATACTTTAAATTAGCTGTAATACAAACTACAGTGTATCACAATGAGCAAAGTGTGTTTCACTTTTATACACTGATGCTTTTTATGGGTATAATATTTGGAAATGTGAGATGTAGTTACTATTTTTTATAATTAATTGTAATGTAGTTCATAAATATCTTAAATCTGTCCTTTATAACAAGTGCATACAAAATGTCCATATATACTAGTTCCATAAAATCACGTCCAAGTGCTGTACTCTGAAACCAAAATGTAATTCCGATACCACCGCACCAATATATCTTGCTGATTCTATGCAGTTTAGGCAAGCATACAAATCACTGCAGAGGAATGAAGGCAACATGATTAACACATCTTCAATTCAAAATTTCTCCATGAAGACCTTAAGCCATACTTCAGTAAACTGTATCCATATGTTCATCCCATTAAATTCAATGTTCAGCAATAAAGTAACAACAGCAATGACATTCACCACCTCAACAGTACAAAGAAATAAACCAGAATATTTCACATGCAATATCCAGCAAATAAGATATTATGCTACTTCCATTCTGAAAACAAAATCATTTAGAATTTAAGTCTGTTTTCAATAGTCATTTAAAACAGATGAAATACAAATAAATGTGAAACAGAAATGAGAAAATAAAAACAAGAAAATGCCTTTCTTCTTCATCTTCAGCATATAATCTAAACTTTCAGATGTGGTGTTAAGAACTTTTACACTCACTTTGTGTGCATCATTATTAACGCAATGTGTAGAGTCAATTACAGGCAGACTCACTCCAAACACTTTTTTAATTAACAAGGAGTTGCATATACATGTTCTGGCAGAGCATAATGACTACAACTATTTGTGAATAAATTCCGTTTCATTGAGCAAATAAAATAAATTGACACATTAACATTTTACAGAAATCATGAAAAGTATGTTTCAGTTTATAATTGTGCATCTTCTTACAGTGTGTCTGTGTCCAATACTGCTATCAAATCTTTAATATACACATAAGTTAATCAACGATTGTGAAGGATCTTTATTATACATAAGGAGAAATAAATAACACCAGACAACTTACATCTCGTTATATATATATTTGGAGCCACAGGAAAAGCATAACTTCAACGAGCCTCTAGCAATTATTTACTTCTTCATACGAAATGCTAAATGGTGCTCACACAACAATTGCCAATGCTCCCGAGACAACCTCTTGTAACTGAAGGAACCTTCAGACCAACTGCTGAGCAGCACGTTAAGATATGGTGCAGGTGATGCAGTTGATTAGTAACAGTATAAAGGGACATGTGTATAGAAATTTGTTATTATGGATTAGGTAACTTTGAAGTTTTATAACAGCAGAAAAATCCTGTAAATGTAATTACATTCATTCCAGTTGCACATGGGGTGAAAACCTTCTGAACTCAGTTTAGCAGATCTGAGATGCTAGTTCTAAGGTCAAGATTCAAAGTATCTTGTTGTTTAGAGCAAAACATGTCATCTGGTACAGTGTGATGCACACCTTATAGCATAGCTTAGTTTAATATGTTGCAACTCCATCACTCCAGCAAGTCACATTCAAACATACTAAATTCCTAGGTCAGGTTGGTAGAAGAACTGGACATGCTGTAGAGCCAGAATATCAATCACATTCAAATACAATAAAATTTACTGGAAGGGACAGGGTAATGGTGTTGCAGGGAGTGCACAGCATAACTTGTTCACTGAACACAAGATTTTCGACATCTCTTCTGACAAAACGTAGTGTTGTTAGCACTGTGTAACTCAGAATTTGAGGAAAATAACCTCTGTGTATTTATATCACAGCTGTGGGGGAGGGGGAAACAAACAAATAGATGCTGAGAACTTGAACTTGATTACATAAACAGTGTTCATGCATAACTGTAAAAAGATAATGCAGATATAACATGATAATAATCAAAGTGAACAACAAACCTTCCAACTATATGATGTCATTATTCCGAAGAACAACTCCAGTGTAGTAACCACCATTCACCATCAACCAAAACCATTGTAATCAATAAGATACTCTCTATCAGCAACTTACAACACAATATCCACCTCCTATGCACCTATTGGCCATACTTGAAAAAGGTTCAAAAACAGTGACACACAAGTTAAGAGATCATAATGCCCTAATTGAGCTATGAAAAACAGTATTTGCACCCTGCATCTGCCTTTAACTGCATTTACTATGTAATTCCTGCCACCAGTTGGGTACAAACCAATTAGGCCACTAAGGTATTGGAAGGATGGATATGCTCTAAAATTTAAGTAGACATCTGGTATAACACTGACCTGCTACACTATCAGCAATACATACGTAGGGCAGTCAAAAAGTTCCCGGAATTGTGGTATAGCACTGTCATGATAGGAAATATGGCAATGCTTACCTAATCACCTTCATAGTAGGACCCTTGCGCACACACACACACACTTGCTCCATCGATCCTGCCATTGTTGGAAGCACTGGCGGAAGGCTTTGTTCGGAATCTTCCAGAGTTTGGCCGTTGCATTCGATTTGATGTCCTCCATGGCTGCGAAACGCGTCCCCTTGAGGCCCATTTTCAGAGTAGGGAACAGCCAGAAGTCACTCGGAGCGAGATCCAGAGAGTATGGTGTTTGGGTGATGACGGGAATACTTTTCTCAGCCGAACTCCGGAAGATTCCAAATGATGTGTTGAATGCGACGGCCGAACTCCGGAAGATTCCAAACGAAGGCTTTGTGTGTGCACAAGGGTCCTACTTTGAAGGTGATTAGGTAAGTATTGCCATATGTCCTACCATTACAGTGCTATACCACAATTCCGGGAACTTTTTGACTGCCCCTCGTAAATTTCATTAGCTTCACACCATGATGTACATACCATAATAATTTATTCTTAAACACATAAATGTATGTCCAGACTGCATTAATGTATTAATGTAATACACAAACTGCATGTTGTGCTTATGTATAAGAACCTGCAGCCAAACAAAATTCCAGTCAGATATGCAACAGAAACTGTCTCCCTTTTCACTAACACAGATGCCAATTGGAGATCACTGCACACATTTTCAACTAGTGTTGTACAACATAAAACATATGCATGACAAATGGTCCATTTCACTAAACACAAACAACAAAAATTGTAACATATGTTACAATTCTTTTGAACAAACTGAAAGACATATAACCAATGTTTATGAAATTATTACAATGTACATAACCACACAAAAAACTCACTGTAGATCACATCCCACCCAACACAATTTCATTATTTTAAAATGGTCCACTAGAGCAACTCAATACATCATATTTTCTTACATATCTGACAATAGCCAATCTTCATTATCACAGAGACAAAGAAACACATGTAACTGCAATGTCTGCCAAAACACTAGATAATTTTCAACATTCGACATGGCCCACCCCAAACACTGAAGACATTCTCATTAAAATGAGCCACTCTAATTTTGACGGTCTACGTTTATGTACATACACTGTACATATAAAGACTTCTGGCACTTCATATATTAGTTTTTTAAGCTAAATTACTCACCTCAGCCTGGACGAAGGAGATGCCCTTTGTAAATTAAACATGTCAGCTTACTGACTGTAAAAAATAATCATAAATGCTTCAATAAAAAAAGATGTATACTTACCTAGACAGCAGTTTGGTAACAATACCTCTTCATGTCCCAACCCATCTTAAATATTGGAATTTGATCTGAATGAGACAAAATTTATTCATTAACCCCTGTAAAGTACTAAAACATTTAATATATCACACTCTGACATAAAAATAATAATTGGTATGGTTTATGTCCCCTCAGGGACCCACATCAGTGGGTACAGGGACTGGCACCCCTGAGGTACCCAAGCTACCCAGTGCCCGGAGGTATAGCTGGGCCACCCTACCTCCGGGGGCTGTAAATATGGAGGTTTGGTCCTCCAGGTTGGGGGATGGGCACCCTGTAAAAAACAACTTGTTACAAAATCAGATGAAGCAACTGCCAGATGGACTCATTCACAGTGGACTGGCAAACAGATTGTCTGAGGAAGAATGGAAGAAGCTTTTGAAGAAGGCCAGGACCCACACAGAGCTGTAGAGCCAATGATGATGGTGGTTTATATGGTTAAATGAAAGAGAAGACTATCAGCTGAACTTGTGGTTCACATGGAAGAAGCAGGAAATAAAAGAATTGAATTTTGTAGCAGCAGCCCAATGGATTTAACAACCTATAAAACATCAGAATCTATTATTAATGCTGGAGGCACCATTTAGGTATGACTGGTGTCAAAGTTGATTGAGGAGGAAGCAGTCACGGTCTGTTTCAAGGCATTACCACAGCATTCACTTGGAAGGGCTGAGGTAACCCATCTACTATAATTACTGCAGTTCCAACAGAATAACAAATCCAGACAATCTTTGGAGTAAAGGGGTTAATGTTATAAAGACAATACATATGTAATATTGTCTTGTAGGATGGTTGTTAGTCCAACAGAACTACTCACTGTAAGTCACCATTTCTGTTAGTTTCCCCACTGGTGTAATTATTTTTTCTATAATATGACAACAAAATAAATTTCACCACCACCACTATCATAATGATAACATATTCACTTTTTATAATATATGAGCCCTGCTTGCCAAACATATAAATTTACCTCACTGTTTCCCAGTGTCTTTTATCAACACTTGTGAACAGTCCAGCTACTCTTTTCTTACACAAAACATTTCAGTTATGAAAAAATGAATGAAGGAGAAAGGAGAGGGAAGAAATTCTGTCAGGTATAGAACAACTATACATTTCCATGCACAGAGGTATAAGAACGTTATACATAACAGACTCCATAAATCTGAGTTTCTCAAAGTGGTGACGAAGTTGATGTTAATATTCTGGGTTGTAATATTGCATGGATTTGTAGGCAGATACCAATGTTTCAAAGATAGTATGTTTCTCTGAACTGCTGGTATCTACCTGTAAGTCCCCATGGCATTACAATCCAGAATATCAATACTGACAGACCCTACAAGAGTTCTGTTTGTCAGATAGTGTAGTGAATCCAGAAGAAACAGAATCAGGAATACAGAGAAAGAAAAACTGGAGGGAGTAGTAGTGCAGGACACTTTCTTTAACATTAACAAGATTGTATTCTTTAACAATAACAAGATTGTAAAGGTGTACTCCTTGGAACACATTAAAATTCTGAAGGTGTTCTTTATACCACATTACAAGTAATAATGTGAACCAAGGTCACTGTTGCAACATTTTGTCCACGACATACGCTAAGAAGCTCACTCGGCAACAAACTTACTAATTTCTCGAACATGCAGGCATTAAAAATTGGAGGCAAGCGTCGGCTTATAGTTGAGCAGAAAGTATAAGTTTTTAAGCTACCACACTCTCTTTTATGTACGTACAGCAATTAAAGCTTACCTTCCTTCCATTACGATAGTATCATTCCACTACACTTATACATACTTTTTGCAACAATAACGCACAGATTACTTTCCACCAAACTCGACGTAAATTAATTAACGTTATACCATCACTTTCAGCACTACCAACATTGAATATCCTGTCACTGAAAGGAAATGGCGGACTGGTGCTAAGCATTCATTGAAAAAATACCGATGTTTAAAATTGGAGGTCATACACAGAGTCACATAAAACAGTTGTTTCTCGATTATTGTAACACGAATCTGAGCTGGACGGTTTTCCGTAGCTTTAATTTCGTTTGATTGTTTAGTAATACTGGATCTGGGCTGTGCGGATAAGATATTTTGAAACTGGAAGGATCTTTGGAATAAACTCATAAAACAAAATTCCCATCTTAAGATGATATTACGAATCAGAAAAGAAGTCAAACATCCAAATTCAGAGTGCATAGGGATTATAAGAAAACTGTAGCATAGTGACATGATCATCAGCTTACTGAAGCATGTATTTTTAATTCGTGTTTCCGGCATAAGGTAATGCGTACGCAAGTTATAAAAAATACCTACGGTCACGGCCATTACAGGTTTCCGTAGATAACTTACCTCATCCGCTAATCATCGATGAGAATGACATAGACTATAGAAGAAATAAAGAAATATATAAGGCATGGAACATTTCGACTTTGTGGAAGAACAGAAAATCCTCCTCATGATTTCTTTTAGCGATATGAAAATCGAGCAATCATATAATTTCTCCCAATTTCAGACCTAAGGAAATTTAACGAATGTTCATATTCAAGTGATATCCCTACAACTACCATGTATTCTATCTATCCATGACCTTATGCCTGAGTAAAGCTTAAAAAAGATCAAATCTATGTCTAAGTTTGTTCCTACAAGCTACGAGCGACATCTTTCGTGATTAGCGTATATTTTGTTCAAGTGATTCTACATTGATGCGGATAGATGTTGAGGGGCTCTGTGAATGGGAGTGCTGAGAATAAATTGAGACGCATCATAATCGTTACTGAGCGGCTTATGGCGTCACGCATATTGTATTGCAATCTATACCCAAATGTAGCAACTGTTCTGTTTCTGATGAAAGACAAAAACATGCACTTGCGACATCTACAAGGATGGAGTGGAATTACTTGAACGAAATACACTATTAATGTAATCCATGTTAACAATTTGTCGGCCTCGGTGGACTAGTGGTTAGTTCGCTACTGGGTGTAAGGTTCGCGGGTTCAATCCCGGCCGAAGTCGATGAAGTTTTAAGGGTGATAAAATCAGTAGCACAACTTCCTTCGCGGGGGGAAGTAAAGACGACGGTCCCATGTGGTAGATTTACGGCATGTAGAAGAACCTTACGAGCATGATAAGAGATGTTTCGTAAGCAAAATTCAGCGGCCACTTCTCACCCAAACTGTGTATAATCAGTGGGCTGGCCACTCATTACTCATAAATGCACATTTCAAGACCAAGAAACCTCCTAAAAAGTAGGCGGCGAAATCCCACAACCGCGTTGTAGAGCCAAGAAACAAGAACATGTTAACAAATTAGATTGTATCAAATACAATGCAATAGTGTGAAATGGATTATGCGACAATTAATATGAATTTAGTCAGATGCCGTAACCCATAAAAGTTGGAGCATCTACAAAAAAAATGTGATTCCAGGGCAATAAGTGTGAGGTTGGGAAAAATATGTTCCGTTTGGTTCCTCAGCTTATTTAACTGTTCTGTAACATAGTAAGTGATGTAGCAACAAATGACACTGAATTGTAAAGGAATCAGTCATGGCCTACTTAAAGGAACTGTCCCAGTATGTCTGTGGAGGACGGGGGGGAGGACATTGTCCTCCATCTGAAATCCAAACTGGTGAAACGGACCTCATGTGTGAATGTGGTACCACTGATACAGTTCTTAGCCATTCGTTTTTCATCTTTCTGTCTGATGTCCCTGGCATCTTCACCACCAGAATATAGATCTGAGGAAAAAAAAATAATCCTGTTGTTTTCATTCTTCTCACAGACATGAACACAGCCAAACACTTCATATCTTCTACAGCTGATAAGATTTGTTGAATCACTTATTATTTTACATGTAGAAACCAATGCTTTCAGAACACCTATTAAAGAATATCCAACTGTAATATGGGAAGCAGTAAGCACATTAAGTTTATAAAAATAAAAGGAATGTTTTCACACTGTTTATATTGCTTATGCTTAATCTATGATCATAACAAGAAACAGTACAACAAGGAATGTGACAAATGCATCATTATTAGCCTAAATCTGAAATTAAAATAAGAATTAAATTTTTAATATACATGTTTATTAATCCCTTTCTTTGGACCCTATACAATTTATAACTAATCATAACAACATACTTCTTTGGGTAGTTACCATGTTGTCTGAAATGCATCACCTGACCAAACTGAGTTTTTATTTCCTTTATTTCTGTTTTAATGAATGGGTGGGGGCAAGTTGGTAACACATCACATTTGACTAGTATCAAATAGTTTCTTTCTTTTTAAATCATATTTTATATTGAAAATTCTAAGCAGTATGAACACATACACAAATATACCAGTAACAAGACTGCATAATTACTTGCTGCAGAAAGTTTATACCTTCTGATATTCCTATTAATAACAAGCTTGGCTGTATGTTTCATATCATTCTAAACCATTAATCTCAGTCTATCCATAGAATGTAAATCATACTGATAGTCAACAAATGCCCAAAATACTGAAGAACAGAATATGTAAAATACAAAGAAAACATGACACGTACATGGTTAAATAAATTTTCACATTACTACTCTCTAAGTGGAATGTGTTTGAAATTAATTTATATATCACATTAAACAGTGACTAAATTAAATATTTTGGTAATTAGGGAGGAATTCATGTTGCATCATACAGTGAACTGAAAATAACACTGTTCAATATCTGATTGTCAGAAAAGATTTTTGGTGCAGGTGCTATTTATTTTTTGTGCATAGGAAAACTAATTTCCTTTGTTACACTGTTATTTGGAAAAGAGTAATCCAGTATCATTGTACATAATGCAATATGAGGACATCTCTGAGCAAAAATGCAAAACAAAATATTTTGTTTGATAATACAATTTTAAACAAAGGATACTTTATTGTTTGTGTATTGTTCCCTTTTTGTTTACTTGAACAAACAAATTAATTCATTCACATATACAAATGTTCATGTAACACTTCGATGTATGTAATTTATTCATATTAAGAGAAGATCAGAATTATTAGAGTATATGTTAAGTAAGAGTCACTAAAGTTAATTTTGAAATACACTGTACTTGTCCAGTTTGGGAGAAAGTATTGTAATGTTCACAGACTGAATACAGAATTCTTCTTCTTGTATGGTTGTCAGGTATAATTAAAAGACCTTTAACCTGGAATGATCCTGCAGTGAAAGCTGAAAGAACTCCTATTTGTATGCTTTTCAGGATCTCAGATAACCTTTTACATGTTGTTAAGTAGCAATGCTGAAGGAGACAGATACTGTAAAAGAAGAAATTGAACAAAGTGTGTGATGAGCACTTTGAAACTAATGTACTGAACGTAGACAGCTGAAAGCAACGTAGAGACTCTGCAAGTGATTTGCAGATTTTTCTGCTGCTTATACCCTGTAATTCCCTTTAATACTGTACATTGCAAATGAAGACAACTAAAAGGACTTAAACCAAATTTATATCTGACTCTACCTTATAATCTGTGATATAATACTTCTTCCATGTAGATGTTGAAAAATAACTTTAAAACCAGTAACAATTATTACAGGATTTTTTGCATCAATTCTGGACAACATGTATGGTTTCTAATCCCGAGGATGTAATTATGAGGTCTTAACTTATACTACACATGTATCTAAAGAATAAATAAGTTAGTTTATAATAATGGTCTAAAGATGAAAAAAAAATATAATTATGTATTCTTAAATCAGATATATTGAACAAAACAAATACTGCATTTAAAGTTGATGTAAAAATGGAGTTCATATTAATTAAAAGCATTGATAATCTTCTATGAGGGCAAAGCAAATGTGAACCTGAAAATAATATCATATCACAGTATGCTTGTATGTATTTGGTTCTCTGTTTGATACGACTATCAAAGCACTCTAAAAGTGCTATAAATATGGGGTTTAAAAATGAAGTTACATAGACACACGAAGGTATTTTCAGGAACAGCAGAAGAAAAAAATCCTAACCATGAAGTGTGGTCAGATGACTATGAGAATATATTTTTATAAATCAAAATATGTGACCCTAGCTAGTAAATAATGGGCAAGATTAAACTTACAGAACATGAAATAATAATAAATGGATAATAAAAAATGAAAAGCAGTTACTAATTATTTTTGACAAATATCTTAATCATATTATCATTTCTTATTGTTTTGATCTTTTTATATGTTTTATGGATGCCTTGCTGCCAATATGGACAGAAAAATGGCTAATATTAAATGAAAGTATAGTAATACTATCAAATAGCATAGAATTTGGACATGTACAAACAAAAAAATATATGTCAGGACCACAGTTTATGCAATACAGAAGTTCAAACCAGAGTTAAGAAATCGTCTTTGTAGCATCCACAACTCTCTGTCTCTAATGTCTTTCATGTCTAAATTTTGGGCCTATTTATTGTGATGAGTATTTTTTTTACAACCTTTGACCTGTCTTGAAATTACAGTACTTAACGAGGTTGTTACATCTTTTTAAGTCTGTGCTTGTTAAATTGCTACAATGCTTGGATAAAAATGTGTCACCAATTAAAATAAAATACTTAGACAGAATGATTTTATGAAATCTGTGTGAATTAAAACTAATGAGCAAAGAATATACAGAAGCTTTGTCAATATATTAATTTTGATATGAAACATATATAATGTCTTGTAAAATGGTAACACTTTGGACACTGTACTTCATTAAAGTAATGTTATTTCTTTCATTGTTATGTTTCTATTTACAATACCTTCTTAATACTGAGTGTTTGTACAGCTGTACTGTCGGGAACATTTACGTGTATGAAACACATTAATGACTTGAAATTTAAGGTTTGCGCCACAGTGAAAACCTGGACGGTGATTTTTATGTTGTGGCATCATGTAAATCATGTAGGTAGTTTACAACTTCCAACCTGAAGATGGAGGCTATACTTTCTTCCAAACCACTTTACCTACCTACATGTTTACATGGTTTCATAACCCAGAAGAGCATAATCCACATTAAACAGTCTTTCTTATTTGCTCTGCAGTGAGAAAAAAAACAACATACAATGAAAAGTCGCTACTTATGAAATATAGTAGTAATGTGATTTTAAATGATGTTGATATAGGGCATATGTTGCTTCAGTCAATGATTTCCACATTTATCTACAATTACAGGTATATGACTTATATCCAAGTCTGAAAACTTGATCTCAGTGTAGTAAATGGTATCCATTACTGGGACATGTACTGAATGAAATCCTTGTACTTTGAAAATAATATAAATTAAATAAACTCCATAAAGTAGAAATTTATTTACAATTGATTTTAAAGTAATAAATTTCTTCACTGGAGAAATGAAGGCTTAGTGGACTCAGGCATACACACTCTGTCAAAGAGGACAAATCATGTTCATTACCTGGTGGATATGACCATATGCTAGTGACAGTTTTGTTATGTTCAGTTATTTTTTCATAGTACAAAGAAAAATGCAATCATCCAGTCACTTTAAAGCAGTGATGCCCCCAGACATTATCTTGTGTAGATTCAAATGATGAGATTTAAAATTCAAACATATTTCTGGAAACATTTCAATGGTATATTATTTCCTTAGTTATATGACACCAAGGTTACAATTAAGCAGCTCTTAAAATCATATGAGAGAAGAATTACATTTTGCTTCCTCTACTTTCATGGAGAAAGAGACAAGTACTATGTGTATATATTTCTGTTCTGTTTCAAATAAAATATTGCAATAGTTATTTCAACACACACACACAGTCACACACACATACATGCACTATCATACAGTGATATGCCAAACCTTAGTAACAAACTTAAAAACCCATAAATATAATATATACGTAGTAATACATAGTAATAATTACATTAATTTTTATAGGAAATTCATCAAAATCCTTATCTTTTCACAAAAGGATTTATTTCTTTGTAAATTCTTGTTTTTATATATATCAAACTTTGCTTTAGTTAACAATTACTTGCTAGAATTTAAGAATGTCACTTGATAAGGGGGCACAGATCATGATATGTTTAGAAAGTGATGTTTTTTAATCTATGATCTAAAGCAGGTTAATTAGAGAAGGCGAGAATGGCTAGTTTTTCATATTTTTTATACAGTTTTTCCCATTAATATTATCACATTATACCTGCTTTTACTACCATTTCATATGACTTCTAAAACACATCAAGGACTCAACAAGATTCTACAGTTTTGGGGCTCAAAGACTTGCGGCTTCTACAATATAACAAATCTTTAGCAGGCACTCAAATCAGTTAATGTTTATAAACCACAGTAACTGAAAATTAATGTAAAAGAAATACTAAATCTAAGATATCAATATGGATGGGTATTAATGTGGTATGAGAAACATTTTTCATTTTTTTTCCCACTATTTATCTAGGAAATTAAAACACTGGACGAAATGAAAAATTCTTAAATTATAGGATGTCATACATAACAAAGCGAGTAACGTAGTGTTTTCTATTTGATAGAAATCACATATTACAAATCCTTCCATCCATAGTATGAAACTTCAGTCATTCAGAATGAGATAAAGGGAGCAATGTATTATAGCTAGAAGTTTGCAATACACAGAATACACCACACAATAACATGAGAACACACACACACACACGCACTCACTATTTATATAATGTTGCCTGACAAAGCTCGAGCAGAATAAGGCAGTACTTTTATCATCTTTCAGTTTTAGCCCTGATTAGTTTATACCCTTCTTTCATCAATTATTAGATTGCAATGAACACGCAAATCATGCATACTCACATTTTCAACCACGCGCAACGTGTTAAGTACCCTGAATAAAAGAGGCAACATACCATCTTGTACTAACACATTTGGAAATAATTAAACATATATTTGTAAGTAATAATACTGTTCTGCAGTCTATTTAAAAATTATCCCCAAGAAAACATTACAAAAAATATTACCATTAACCAATATATATTTATTATAAGCACAGTTTTCAATCATCAGTTGAAAAAGCTGCAAAGACAATGAACAAAATCGTCCTGTTGTCATGTTCCCTCCACCCTTTGAGCCCCATTTAAACTGCAATCTCGCACACAATAAGTGTTACGAGCATTTATATTACAAGAGTATAGTTCTGTTGCGGTATTCAAACAAACAAATACACAAGAACAAACAATGACATTCAAAAGGTTCGGATTGCGTAACAGATAAGCTGATATGTTTATTTATGCTGATTTGCCCCCGCCCTCCCCTGTAGCATTGAGCTGCGTTTTGTCTTCAGTAGAGACAAACAATGGACGGAAAGTTTCCAGAATAGATCTGTTGCACTGTGCAGAACCACATCAGCATCATTCTTCTTAATTATTCATTTTCTGGAGGGAAAATTAGACGGTTAACATTTAAAATATGATTTCAACCATGGATTTGTTTACTAAGATAACGGGTAACACTGACGTCCTCATTATGCATGTGTCTCAAGTTATGATCATGCAGACATTTTATTTAACATGCAGTTTAATCTTGCCATATATTGTGAACATATGTTTTGAAGTGCTCATCAGATTAATCAATACTTTATAAAGTTTTCAACCTTTTATCTGATGTAATTTTGTATCATATGAAAAATGTGTCTGGGTCTACACAATGCAAACAGATCTGATAAATCTGCATACAAAATGGACCTGTGAGAGGAGGCTTCAGAATGGAACATGTACTGGTATGCATAACTTTTAACTCTGAACCTTAAACTTTAAATTTCTATATTAATTTCTATCAGATATCTTCGCTAAAGTTACTAAAATATGCAAAGCAAAGACTACAAAATATCTGTTCACATGTGCCCCAGTACATTCCCAAATCTGTACCCCCACTCCAGTGGCCCTTACCAAAGATCTCATAATTTTATATCACATCAACCTTACACGTAAAGCAACTACTAATAAGAGTCTATAAATCTTTTTTTCTTTTCTTATAAGAATCTACAAGTTATTAACAAATAGAAATCATATTCCCATCTGTAATGAATTTCAGCACTATAATTTTCTCTCCTTATTTGTATGTTTGCATGGTGCTTGTTCACAGTATTTCCATCTTGCTGTCCACCATCTTATATTTAACTTCAGCATTCCTTTAGATTGTCCTTAAGACCTGAAGCTTTCAGTCTCGGCTTTGGTACATACATAATGTATACAGTTGGTACAAATCTAACATTGGGTGCAACCTCAACTGTTAATATTTGACCACCTAAGGAGAACTCTTTAAAGCTGCAGGTAAAAATTAAGTTGAATAAACTGTACCATAATTTCTGTCCACCTTTTCTTGGAAATATCCAGTAGGCTAAACTGCTGACACAAATGAGCTATAATCTAGAGACAGGTGGTCACTTTAGTCACAGGAATTACAATATTATTACACTCACTGAAAGTAATGATATGATATATACAAATTATTATTCTACCATAGAAAGTACGCATCACATTTTACCCCAGAAAATTTGGCAAAATGCCTAAAACTAATGTTCACAAGATACTGATTTAAACTACATTGGTTTTTAAATATATGATGATAGGAGGAGGTGAGAGAAAGCACTGGTTTTGATATGGTTCATATGATATGCCTGAATAGATCATTTTGGTATCCTGCGTCCACCCTCCTGCACCTGTATTGCTGCCCGTGAGGGATGACACAGCATGGGTAGGACCCATATTCTGAGCTTGGTTTTCATGATACATTTAAAAATAACAACGTCTCTCCTCCTCCTATCAGTTTGGATATAGCACGAGAATTTATTGCTATTTATAATAAATATATTAGGAGAGCCAAACCAAAAGTATACATCTCTATTTAAATAAATCTAATCAAATCAACACAAAGTCACCTCTGTTATTGATGATAATTATTCTATCTAATGGTTGTAACCTACAACAAGATCCTCTAACTGCACACTTGAACATACAGTAAACTAGTGTACAATATTTGGTTTTCATTTCCAAGAGTCAAGATTACTTGGACTAAACAGACATCATCATCATCATCATCATGTAAAATTAGTACAATACATTTACATGTAGTTTTAATAATTAAATCTAGAACATAGCATGTAGGGCACCTTTGGTTTCAAGCCTCTGCAAAACTCTCTTTGTTATTAGCATAACTCTCTAGGAATATACTGCCACGTTGAGGCATGGCTTTCAGCACTATTATTACAGGATGTATTTTTTTCATGTCCCCAGATTTTGTGAATAATTCTAATACTCCTTCTTAAAGAAGCTATATTAACTTTCTACTATTAGTTAATGTTCTCTAAACTCACCTGAAATTATAATTCCATTGCACTGATTGTTATTTTTCTCTTCAAAGCAATGTAATATCCTAACTGAAAACCTTATCACGATGGCATGAAATCACTGGCTTTGGCTGTACAAAAATGTTTATTCTGCAATATGTTGACCTTCCTTGCTATTAATAATAATTTATTATATCTTGTTATTAATAATTAACTATTATGTTACAATTATTACACTGACAGACCAGTCTGCAGTATGAAAGCAAATAACTAAGAAAGAAGAAAATAATACATAATTTCAATGATTAATCTACTGCATAAGTGGCAGTATTATGCCATTTCTATTGATGTTAGGTTGGAGTTTTCCTCTGCTGTATGACGGCTCAGTAGCGATGTTGGCAAGGCAATTCCAACTAAAAGCTGGTGCCTAGGTCAAGTGCTAAGTTGTAAGTAAGGATAATTAAAATTGTCCATTTTCTTCTCCCTTGGGTCCCTACAAGAAAGCAAACAACAATTATAAGTGTCATTCACATTATGGGAACTCAAAATGCAGTTATCACATGGAAATACTTAGTTTACCTATATTCATAGGATTTGAGGTCTTCTTGGTGGTGAGTCTGAAGACAGCTGTCTTCTGGGTTGTAGCGATGAGTGAAGTTACTCAACACCCAGATGATGGAGGCAGCAAGGACCTCTGAGACGTTGGTAAACTTCTACCAGACTACAACCCAGAAGACAGCCATTTTCCTGCCTAAGTAAATGTAAACACATTTTCTATTTGTTAGAAGGCTCAGGAATTCCAGTTAGATTACATAAGTCATGGCATACAGATTTTGAATAACAGTTGGAGGTAAGTAATCAATTTCAAGTTCTGGCCACTTTTAATTCCTACAAAGGAGCTTCCAGTATCCATAATATTGACTAATTCTTGCATAACTTAATCATGCTGTATCAACTGCATAAATTATATAGTGATGACTGGTATGATGACTGAAAATAACAGAACAGGAAAGGACGTGG